CTAGACCCTCTGGTACCCATTGTATGCATAGGATTGGTAGACCATCTGGTACCCATTGTATGCATGGGATTGGTAGACCATCTGGTACCCATTGTATGCATAGGATTGGTAGACCATCTGGTACCCATTGTATGCATAGGATTGGTAGACCATCTTGTACCCACTGTATGCATAGGATTGGTAGACCATCTGGTACCCAGTATATACACAGGGTGTGTAGACCATCAGGTACCCATTATATGTATATGATTTGTAGACCATCAGGTACCCATTATATGTATATGATTTGTAGACCATCTGGCACCCATTGTATGCATAGGGTTGCTAGACCCTATGGTACCCATTGTATGCATAGGGTTGCTAGACCCTCTGGTACCCATTGTATGCATAGGATTGGTAGACATCTGATACCCATTGTATGCATAGGATTGGTAGACCATCTGGTACCCATTGTATGCATAGGATTGGTAGACCATCTGGTACCCATTGTATGCATAGGGTTGCTAGACCCTCTGGCACCCATTGTATGCATAGGGTTGCTAGACCCTCTGGTACCCATTGTATGCATAGGGTTGCTAGACCCTCTGGTACCCATTGTATGCATAGGATTGGTAGACCATCTGGTACCCATTGTATGCATATGATTGGTAGACCATCTGGTACCCATTGTATGCATAGGGTTGCTAGACCCTCTGGCACCCATTGTATGCATAGGGTTGCTGGACCCTCTGGTACCCATTGTATGCATAGGGTTGCTAGACCCTCTGGTACCCATTGTTTGCATAGGATTGGTAGACCATCTAGTACCCATTGTATGCATAGGATTGGTAGACCATCTGGTACCCATTGTATGCATAGGATTGGAAGACCATCTGGTACCTATTGTATGCATAGGATTGGTAGACCATCTGGTACCCATTGTATGCATAGGATTGGTAGACCATCTGGTACCCATTGTATGCATAGGATTGGTAGACCATCTGGTACCCATTGTATGTATAGGATTGGTAGACCATCTGGTACCCATTGTATGCATAGGGTTGGTAGACCATCTGGTGCCCATTGTATGCATAGGGTTGGTAGACCATCTGGTACCCATTGTATGCATAGGGTTGGTAGACCATTTGGTACCCATTATATGTATGGTGTTGGTATAAATTTTTGTACCTATTATATTATAATTTTCATGTATTCTGACTGTAGTTGCACAGACAATTCTATTTCTTTACAACGGTTTTAAACGGCTGTCATTTTCCCTGTCCTATCTCATCACGATGATAACATGAAATGAAGTAATTCCTACAAGACATGATCTGTCATCTTCATTTTATAACCTTTATATTAGAAGATAATTGTCTATAATTTTATTTCTATTACAATACCTAGTATTTTAGTTCATGTGCATAAACTCTGCCTGTTGGATAAAAATATAAGGTTATTACGAAGATACCTCAGAGTATGCACGAAGACAGTACAGCGGCAGTATTGACCGACGCGCAGCGGAGGTCAATGCGACAGCGCACTGTCTGATTGCATACTTTGGGGTATCTACGTAATAACCTTATAATTATTATTATACATCTTTTCCCTTCAAGGATACATCATGGGAATGCCAAAATCTAAAAGTTTAGAACAGAATCAGCGAACTTCATTGTATGGAGTCTAGTCAAATCCTGGTGGCAGCCATGTTTGTTTTTATTATTAGAGAACTCTTACGCACGTAATCATTTCATATTTGGAATTCGCATTTCCTAATATGGTAGAATGAAAATACCCGTAAAATACCACAAAATTACGGCACGCTGTAACTTATGGCGTTACGGTGACAGATGTATAATAATATCAAATATAATAAATTTAAAAATAAATATAAATAAAATGATGTATTCAATAAGAAATCTACCATTATGTGAATTTTTCTCATCTTATACAACACAGTAAATCAACTTGTAACCAGCTTTTCTATTAGTATAACCATCAATCAGAATAATTATCTACATCATTTGGAGTAAATAAGTCATTAGAAAGCTAATCTATAATTTATTCATGGTAATTTATCTCTTGGGCCACACAAAATTTTTTCACCAAACTATTGATGCAACATGTTTTGAATTTTGCTAAATTTAAATTAAACACTACATATGATATATCAAATATTTTATCCGAATCTTTTATTGGAAAAAAACTTCAACTTGAATGGGATTATATTATGTGGAAGGTTACATAAGGTGAAATGGTTTAGAGTGTAATTTGCGATGGCCTTTTTATGTGTCTATCCCACATGCAGTATGTTTATCATCGTCTAGGCCCATGATTATTCCCTGTGTATCAATCCATTTTAAGTCAAAGAAATGAATTCAATTGGGATTAATATTTTCTTATACTGTGGGATCATTTGAGATGGAAAACAAATCAAACACAGTTTTTTCAGGGCAATTTTTATCTAAAAGAGAACTTAATGGTGAGATTAATATAAATATATTATTAAAATACTGCACAGTATGCATATTAGTTGAAACCTTGTACAGTGTATTACTTTGTGGTATGCTAATTAATACTAAGTTGTATACATTTTACCAGTCTAATCAAATAGTGTATAAAGCCAAGCACTGGCAAGGTAGTGAAAAATAATACTTGTCACAATGCGAATCGATCAGCGATACATTTGCTATCTTGGATATACATGTATCATATTATTATTCTTTATATCAATCAAAAAACACTGTAACAAATTCCTAGATTTACAATAATGTTTATTGTTCTATTTATCATGAATATCATGGAATAACTCATTGAAGAATTGCTGACTGGTATACTCCAGTAATTTGGTAATGCATAGGGCATTGTCTAAACCTCATTAACATACTTTTCATTCTTCCCTCTAGGGAAATTAACATCATAATTCATAGTTATCCTTTTTTATACAGAAGTGTAACTATTAAGATAGTGTTGCTATGACAACCATGTCACAAAATTCATCATGTGTTACTGTATATTTATTCATTCACTGTGTATTCTGGTACTGGTAAAGGGGTGCCACACCTAGATAATGCCAACAACTTATAATTTGTAATTACTGCCCAAATAATATTTGGCTGACGTTATATTTGCATGAGAGAAAAAAGCATTTAATAGGACATATAATATTTATTAAGTTTCAAATATAATGCTTCAACCTTTTCACCATCGGAATTTCTTGCCCACATTTTTCTGCAATTTTTTTATCATATTCTGCAATATTTCTGAAAATGAACCCTAATTTTAGAGCCAACAGACAAAATTTGAGTAAATTTTCAGTTTTTACTCAAAAAATTTGCTATTATTGTCCCAGTCTTCTGAAGGAAAATGCGAACTATAAACAGAACTATTTTGTGAAAAGAGGTGAAAAGAGGTGAAATGGTTAATAATAAAATTGCAGCTGATCTGTGAGGCATACCTGCATTTTGATAACTGTCCGCTGATGTGTATACAAGTGCCAAACTTACCAAAGAAACTGTACAAGTAAATTTTCAAAAGAGTGGTGACATATGTTGATCATTTATGTTTCGAGTGACATTAAAACATAGTTACATTATTGTCACAGTAATGCATGCTCTTAGGAAGGTTAAATGTGAAGAATGAATAAATAAATGTTTTTTTATTTTTTAGTAATGCAGAATTAACTTGTTGATTGTGAAGTCAATATGTTTTAATTTTTGATAAAGCTATTCTCTGATTTATTTATATTCAGCTTGCTTTTCTTTTGTTCAGTTTAGATATGTTTTGTTCCCCCTGTTGTATCACATGACTCAATGTCAGCAATGTTAGGAGTTACACCCCTGTACTGCAAACTCATAATTATGTATATACTAGTTTCTATGGAGCCGAAGTTTGTATTCATTTGTGGATCATTCAAGTTGGCTTTACAGTCTAGGACGTCAAAAGTTGTACGCACAAATACTTTCTTCTTAAAATCGCATCATGTATCAGATGATTTTAGCTGACTTTTCTATTTAGAATAATGGATGTACGATGAAATGCTGAGTATCTGTTGAGTCGTAACAAGGCTGTCAAAATGTTTATTTATGACTAAGTGAAGTATCGATGGAGTTGTTCACTGACCTAGAAAGCTCTAGATAAGACTCCACTCACTTGAGGAACTCGTCAATTATATTTTCGCTATTTCTCATTCTGCGTTGGGACTTACATTCGTGAATATTTCACTTGTGGCAAAAATCTTTAATGACCAACTGTTTTCAAGAAGGAAGCATTCATTCTCCGTAGAATGGCTAAGCTTATGCTTTATCACCGTTCGATATCCTCCGATTCACTTGTTTGTAAGTCTACAGACTGTGAGCTTAAAAGGTAAGATGCTGGGCTTATATTGTTTTCAAGTTAAGTTAGAGAGAAAAAAAAAAAAGAATACATGTTTAGGTTTACTTGAACAAATATTTGTAAAATTTTAATACAGTAAGTTAATGATATCATAAAAAGACTATATTGTTCTCATTTTCACATCGCCTGCTGGAAAAAACTAAACGGAAAAAATTGTTAGTTCAATTTTTTTGTCCATATGAACAGAATTTAGCTTTCATATGTTTTGATCAACTTGTGCGAAAGTTATTAAGCATATTTTTTAATCAGTTGACCCTCCCTCCCTCCCCCCCCTTGGACCTCATCCTTAGTTTTTATTTGATGATCCCCTTATAACTATCTGCCTAAATAATCATTCAATTCTAAAATTCATAGTTTAGACCTTTCTTGGAAAACGTGATTGTGAGCAATTACCACATTTTCATTTTTTAACCTCCCTCTGATTCTTTAGTGATAATGGAGATTATTCAGTATTGTTATTTTTTTGCATACGGTATTCACAATTATTTGTGCAAGGAGAGGACATATTTTCTGTTTTGTCTTGGTCAATTTTATTAATGTTAAATATGATCAACATTTTGTGTTAATGTTTTACGTCGTAAGCCAATATTTTATTTCATTTTATTTCACAAACAGACACAATATATTAAACAATTTCTAATATTTTGCTGAAACTATAATGATCAATCTGAGAATACAACTATTAGATAACAATTTATCTTCCATTAAGTCTGAATGCAAAACAAACCACTTGTGTTACACCAACGACTTTCACCAAATACATCAGTATTTAAGAAGCTTGATGAGTTTGACTGTAAATTTGAAATGTGTGATGGCAGTCTACAACTGAGAGTACAATGCATATCATATAACTTGAAACAGAACATGCATGTAGTTATCGGTATATATTGATTTACGATGTCTTTTTGATGTACGGAATATTCTAGGTTTTGTCTCATAATGGCACATATGATCAGAACAATGATTACCCTGGTAGTTTTAAAATTAATTTTGAATGCTTCTGATTCATGTCTGCAATACACTCATTATCACAGATCTTATTCGATATAGCCACCTGGCAGCCATTTTGTTGTCTGTTTCTCTCTTATGTTTCTCTCAAATGTACAAAACTGGCACAATTTATCAACACTTCACTGTATAATTCTTCTAATTGTTAGCTCCGCTGTCGACGAAACAATTATTTGAAACAATTAAATGATATTTTCGACTTCTTGTTAAAAACCGAACGTCCAATTGCGTTGATATTACATATCAAGGTATTACATGTGGACCTCTCTCAGATTTGTTCATTTCGTGATGATATCTTCAATTCTCTAATTTTGATGAATATTTTTGTAATTTTTTGGTAAAAAGTTATATTTTCGACTTCTTGTTAAAAATCGCTAGTCCAATTGCTTTGATATTACATATCTAAGTACTACATGTGGTCCTCTCTTCTGGTTTGTTCATTTCATGATGATATCTTTAATTCTCTAATTTTGATGAATATTTTTGTCATTTTTGGTAAAAAGTAATATTTTTGACTTCTTGTTAAAAACCGCAAGTCTAATTGCTTTGATATCTTATATACTACATATTTACTACAGGTAGACCTTTCTCATATTTGTTTATTTCGTGATGATTTTGTTCTTCACTTATCTAATTTTAATGAATATTTTTGATAAAAAGTTATATTTTCAAATTTTTGTTGAAAACAGCAAGTCTGATTGCTTTAATACTATACATATTGTTCATTTTCCGATGATTTCTTCAGTGCTTAAA